TAGCTAACTTTTGTTTTCTTTGTAAAAATGTTTTTCTTGTTTCTTTGACTTTTTTCTCTTTCTTTAAGAGAATACCTATACATGTTCCTTTCTTATCAAAACTATAAAAGGAAAAAATCATAGTTCATAGTTATGTATTTAAAATCAAAGTTATAAAGATGGTTGGATCCCTTTATTCTGTCCCTTATAAATCTCCCATTCTTTGTTTTAAAAATATGTCAATTACTTAAAATTTAGACATTTTATAAATCATAATCTCAACTCTTTACAGACATTTGAACATTTAAGATTGTGTTTATAGCCTTTTGTGTTGAAAAGTACAGTATCACTTTTTAGTATTGTTCTTTGTATCTTTTGAAAGTCCTGAAATTATACTAACATTACTTTTTCTAAATATTAAGGTTTTGAGAAATTGCTTCTTTAAGCTCTGTATCTCGTGGCATTGCCAGTGGTCACTGATAACATGGCCCTTTTGTATCTGCAGGAAAATGGTGTTTATACAATAGCAAAATTAATTTTACCAAATAAGCAAAAGAATGCAGCAAAAACTAATCTGTTACAGGTAAGCAACGTATCTATTGTTTTTAACATCATTATTGGATCTGGGAAAACTTTAATAAAATAATCTATGATTTTTAGGACTTTTAAAGTTAATGCTAGCCCCATTACTGTGAGGAAAAATATCTGGTGTCAGAGGCTGGCATGGAAACCAATAACAGCAAAACAATGTAAAAGGCTTAGCCGTGGTTTCTCTGTGTGGGAGAACTAGAAGGTTTATTTAAGTGTTTCTTTGCTAATGAGTAAGTGCTATTTTTTTAAATTCATTGCTTATATATCAGAACATAGCAACAGAGGAAAATTTTTTGTTGACTTTAAACATGGACCTGAGTCACTAACATTTCACCTTTAAAAAGGAAAGCCTGTAAAAGGGATTGTGATGGATGAGAAGGACTCACCAAGTGGATAAGAAATACATACTGGTTGGGGCTTCAGTGGCATCTACTACTGCATGGAAGGGCATTGCATGCGGAGGAACAGAAGGAGCAAATCAGGGAATCCCAGGAGCTTAGACAGTGCTTGGGGAAGAGTGGACTACTGAGTACTTGAGATGCAGAATGCCCCAGGAGTCGAGGACTCAATGGTGAGATTGGGGCATATTTATGCAGGGCCCTATGTGCTTTTCTGAAGAGTGGGCACCTGGAGGAAGTGTCCCTGAATGACACAGGAATGACAGAAATCAGATTTAAGGTTAGCCTTTGCAGTAGTTACAGCTCATATTTTTTTTTTCTAGTCATTGAAAAAGGGAGGCCGGGCATGGTGGCATATGCTTATAACACCAGCAACTCAGGAGGCCGATGCAGGGGGATCACAAGTTCAAGGCCAGCCTCAGCAACTCAGTGAGGACCTATTCAACTTAATGAGAACCTGTTCCAAAATAAAAAAGGCTGGGGACGTAGCTCAGCGGAAAAGTATCCCTGGGTTTGGTCCCCATTATGATAAAAATAAATAAGTAAATGAATAAATAGAAATAGGAAGAAAGTAAAATCAACCTCAATGATACATATTTGAGGAGATAGGTTTAACTGATTTAAACATGAGCCATATATACATGTGTTGCCACATCACATGGTACCCCACAGGTATGTACAATTTTCATGGTTATGTGAATCAGTTAAAAAAATAAAAATCTTAAAAAATAAATGCCCCCAACCATCTCATCGAGAAAGATGGCCAAACCCAGCAGAGACCCTGGTGGCATCTGTGTGGCTGGCATGGAGGGGTTTTTGGAGAGCTGCCAGCGAGAACTCTCGGATGTAGGGACTTGATTTCTTGAGTGCACCGCAGATGTATGACACTGTCCTGGAAAATACACAAAGTCAAATCCATTCTGCAGATGTGTTTTGTTAAACCAGAAGAGGGTTTTGGAAATTCCAGCTTTGGAGCTGGTCTCCAGGAGCACCTGTTTCTCCCCTTTCTTACATCCCTACCACCCTCTCCCTGGGTCCTTCAGGTCATTTTTTGCTGACCACTTGGCCCCCCTGTCTATTGAGATCTGTAATTTTATGAAGCCATCCCAGACCGCCTTGGGCATCCCCGGTCACTCCAGCGGTGGCCTGTGCCGCAGGTGCACCGCAGGCTGAGGGGGCCTTCTCTTTCTTTCTCAGCACTGCAAAATGTCCCATGTTTATTTTTCTTAGTGAAACCCTCGCAGGCCTCTTTCTGAGTGTTCTAGGGAGTTGCTGCTGATTGTTCTATTTGGGGAACCGCTTAAGACTCTTTTACTCCAGAGACCAATTTGTCAAGTCTGAGTCCAGTGTGCCTCTGGCTATTTTTATATGCCATCATCGCTAGTGTTTATTTTCTCACAGAAACCATATAAATATTGAGGCATTCGTAGCAGGCTAGAAACAAAATAAGCCTCGCGCTCCTGGAAATCTCTGGATGTTTGGTTTTCTCAGCATAGGAACAGCATTTCTCGTCTCTGAGCTCCTTTTGTACTTTCGAGAAAGAAATCAATGGCAACTACTGGGTAAAACAAGACCAGGACCCCTAGAGTAGTGACACAGCAACACCCTTTAAACAGGAGAAGGGCCCCAGGGTGGGTGGCTTGTTTTCAGTCATATGCATGGGCCCTTCACTTGGGCCCCCCGTCTCTGGTTTCCTTCTGGAAAGTTCTGTCCCTGAGAATGTTTTGATTTGTTGCAATGCCCTTTAAGAATCACATTCCCCTTTTTTTTCCCCCCTCCCTAGTGTTATGCTTTCAGAGCCTTGAGGTTTCTCTTCAGTATGGAAAGAAACAGACCACTGTTTAAAAGGTATGAGCTTGGAGAACGTGTAAGCCATCACCAGGTTTAAGAGACTGTTGAACGGGAGTGTTTTCACATGCCTGATTCAGATGCAGCAGTAAGAAGCATGGAGCTGTGTGCCAGCCACGGGTCTTCAGATTTCTTAGACCCCAGAGATACCCCCGAGCCACTGTGGGGAGATCTCCATGCTGATGATTCATACCAAACAGCCGTGTATCATGGCCACTCCTCTTGATCACGTGTGGCTCTCGTGGTTTTAGGCTTTTTAAAATTAAAGACATTAATATCTTAAACAGATGGCGTAAACAAATATGTGCTTGTTCTTGCCCTGTCAGAAATTCTCAAGTTAGTCTGATGATTCCCCCTCCATCGATAGAGCAGCCAATCATTTGTCTGGATATCCTTGATAGGGCAGGAGCTCATTTGGAGGAGAGGGGGCTGGATGTCTGGGACCTGGGAGGCTGTGCTGGTGAGACCGGAACCCCTGTCTTGGGAGGCCAACACCTGTTACCTACATGTGTGGTCTACATACTACTTATTTGGATGGATTTGCCAGAATCAGGAACCCACATTCTCACTAGAATTTTGTTTGATAAGCCGTGAGTTAATGTAGATCAGAAAGCATGGCACATTTTTATGTTGCTACTCTATTTCCCTATCATATTTGAATTCAGAGGAAAAAGAAGCAAAATTGATTATTTATTATAACTTTCCACTTAACCTTTCCAACAAACCACCCCTTTTAGTGAACATAAAAAAACCTTTTAAGAAGCCTTTGAAACCAGTGTCTTGGAAACCATGCATAATTTTCTCCATGTTTTTTTTGTTTACTGGTCTTTTTATTTTCATAAAACTTAAAAGAATGAAGCTAGTGTTTACCTTCTAGAGTTAATATGAGGGCTGAATCAAATGGCATTTATGAAAGTGCTCAGCACTCAATAAACACCCAATAAATATTACTTTCTAGTATGGTTAATATCTGTACCCCAAATGTATTATGCAGTATTATGTGTATCATGTCCATTTTTTTAAATTTCTGTAAAATCTTGTAATGTGACATCTGCCCTCTTAACAAAAATTTAAGTGTATAGTCCTGTATTGTTAACTATTAGCCTGATGTTGTACAGCAGATCTCTAAATCTTTTCTATGTTTTCTCTTAATCTTTGAATAATACAGCCCATCTAGTGTAATTTTGTTGAGATAAGTCGGAGAGTGTTATTCCCTCAACTTTGACAGCCTGAGGAAGTTACGTGTGTTTCACATGGTTAATCTGTGAGCACATCCAAAACGGAAGGCCTGACAAACAGTTCCCCCTTTGTGTGTTAAGTTTACGTGGGTGTGTGTGTTTTCCCTGCAGACTTTTCCCCACCGACTTGTTTGAGATGTTCATTGACATAGGACATTATGTTCGTGACATCAGTGCTTACGGAGAATTGGTATCCAAGTTGAATTTATTAGTGGTGAGTCCCCTGAGTTTTAAATATTTTTGAAAGCTGCTCTGTGGTCAGGGTAGAATTTGTCACCGCGACCCATTTCCTTTTTTTGTTTTTTTTTTTTTGGTTAGGAGGATGAACTGAAGCAAATAGCTGAAAATATTGAGAGCATTAATCAAAACAAAGCTCCTTCGAAATACATAGGCAACTATGCGATTTTGGATCATCTTGGAAGTGGAGCCTTTGGCTGTGTGTACAAGGTGACTTTGCCCTTGGGGAACTGCCTTTGTAATATTCCTGATCAAACCAGATGTTACACTTGCATCCCATACCCTACTTAGTTGGAGTCCTTGTCACTGAAAGACAGTGAAGAAAGACATAGAAAATGAGGATGATTATTTTTACTAACAGGCAGAGTTAGCTGCGCTGACATCTTAGCTCTCAGCTCTAGCAATGGGCCACTGACTCTAGAAAGACATTATTAACTTGTCCCAGTCCATGACATATTCTCTAAATTCACACCATTGCTTCTGCATTTGTATAGTAAAATCCTGCTGAATGTTGAGACTGGCCCAGAGTAGACCAATTTTTTGGGCTGAGCTTAGTGTAAATACATCTAGAGTTTTAAACATTCTATTACTTATTTAGATGACTTGAATAACCATGGGACTTTGCTAAGCTATCCCTTTCTTACCTTTTTTTTCTCCTTTCATATTTTATATTGATATACTATAAATGCACATAATAGTGGAATTTATTGTTAAATATGTGTACATGCTCATAATATAACAATATAACTCGGCCAATACCATTCCCCAGTATTTTCCCTTTCCATTTCTTCCTCTGCTCCATCTCTTTCTTCCTGGTCTCCCTTTAGTTTTCATGAGGTCCCCTCCCCTTTTCTTTTCCTTTTTCACCTCTAGTTTCCAAATATGTGTGGAAACATATGACCCTTGATTTTTCTGAGTTTCGTTTATTTTGCTTAACATGATATTCTCAAGTTCCATCCATTTTCCTGAAAATGATATAATTTATTCTTCTTTATGGCTGAATAAAACTCCATTGTGTATTTACATCACATTTTCTTTTTCCATTCATCCATTGATGGATACCTAGGCTAGTTCCATAGTTTGACTATTTTGAATTGGGCTGCTATAAACATGGGGATGCATGTATCACTGTCATAGATGACTTTATTTCTTTAAGATAAATACTGAGAAGAGGTACAGCTGGGACATATGGTGGTTCCATTCCTAGTCTTTAGAGGAACCTCCACATTGATTTTCATAGTGGCTCTACTAATTTACAGTCCCACCAACAGTGCAAAAGTGTTCCTTTTTCTCCATATCCTCTCCAGTATTTATTATGTTTGTATTCTTGCTGGCTGCCCATTCTGATTGGCATGAGATGTCTTTCTTATCTATTCAACTCTCACTTCATTTTTTCCCCCTTCTTTTTAGGTTAGAAAACGTAGTGGTCAAAATCTTTTAGCAATGAAAGAGGTCAATTTACATAACCCGGCATTTGGAAAGGATAAAAAAGATCGAGACAGCAGCGTAAAGAATATTGTTTCTGAATTAACAATAATTAAAGAGCAGGTAAATGTTTTTCTTGTTTCTGAAGATGTTTTCCTTAAATCAGTATCATTGAAATAGAGTTCTTGTGCTATTCTCCTCTGTGCTGCTCATGAACTTGGTCTGTGATATAATGAACCAGGAGGCAGTGATGTTGTCACCAACTTTTCTCCTAAGGCTTGACACCCAACCATAGAAACACTTTCTGGAGTTTACATCAGGATGCAAAACAACTGGGCCTATTGCACAAAGGCTGTCACATGGGAGAGAAATCCTTCTCTCTTTGTTATAAGCATAGCCAGTCCCGCTCATTCAATTGTGGAGTATTTGGTGACCTAGTTGCACACATAGGAATATGACCAAGAATTCCCTGTCAAGTTATTGTCAAGTCAAACAATTTTTGTTTATTCAATCTAAAATGTGAATTTTCAGGATGGGTTATTTGTTTATTTATTGGCATGAACAGAATAATCTGATGTAATTTAATAACTCAATTAACTATCATTATGGAAGTTTGGGAAGAAAGAATAAACCTGTCAGAAGAGAAATGGGATTTTTTTATGTGATGCAAGGAGACATGTGTTTCTTTTTCAGACTCCTTATTTGCACATTCATTACAAACACTGTATTTGTAACTCCTTTGGAGAGTTACCAGCTCCTCTGCTCTTTATTCTCTGTTGTATTTGTGTAGCGTCTGCTCTGGAACATAAAGAATATCATAAATATGGTCTTTAGTCATTGAAATCTGCATTTTACATCAAGTTGTAAATTAGAGTAAGTTTTATCATTAATAGCATATTTTATAGTTGAATTTTATATGGTAATAGATTAGAACTAAAAAGTTAACGATTTTCTCAGAATTAGGATAATCTAGCCTTCCATGGTGTGCTATTTTATTGTAGCACAAGGCTAGAACATGGCTTTTGACCTAAGCAGATATAATATCTTCATTCGATGCAGATCTAGACAGAATCCTTTCCAATGAGCTAGATCTAAAGTATAGTTCTGGTTGTGTGCCTGGTCCCACGTTGTTTAAAAGCCGCTGGCTACTTGCTAGCTGATACAACAGATGATTTATTTTAGCACATTTTCTAAGACAAGAAAGCATTGGGAGGGATCTGCGTGGACTTCAAGGTCTCTCAAAATTGTACAGTAGCCTTCTCACTAGAGGATCAAACCAGTGGAAAGGGTAACAGTCTTGAGGTCTTAAGGAGGAGGCAATGACAGAAAGAAGCAGCAGAAATGGGACTGAAATAGGAGACTGTATCTGTTAAGATGAAGATTAAACTGCAGTAACACAGAGGCTCCAAAATTCAGGGGATTAAGAAGAAGAGGACTCACAGTACAATGGTTTTTTTTTCTCTTTCATGTGACAGCCCAAAGTGAATAGACCATGTTATTAATATTCTCTGCTTTGTGCAGTCATGTGGGGACTCTGCAGTGTCTGGGGTATGGTCTTCACCTGCATGGTTGAAGCTGCCATAGTTGTGCCCAAGGTGGGGTAGAGGAAGAGCATGGAGCTCAGACACAGGGCACACAGGTTTCCTTACACTCACTAGTGAGAACTGAGTGATAGGCTAACTGGGGTTGCAGGAGAGGCTGAGAGACACTGTTGACTGGGAAGCCATGTCCAGTCGCAACTCAGTTGCAGTGGAGTGGGGCGGTAGGTTGATGGTGGACAGTTAGCAGTCTTACCCTCAAAAGGGCATGCAGGAAGGACAGAAAGAGGTGCAAACCATTCTCATATAATTGGAACCCTTCTGAGAGAAGACAACTTTCTATTTATCTGGAAACAAATTTCAAATAAAAAGACTGTAAAACTTTTAGTACTCTCATAGAAAGTGGTCTTTCATTTAATTTTTAAAAAGTAGAATTTCCATTCACACTCTTCAGCCAACTCACTTCAAGGAGAAATTGCATAGGCCACTTTTTAGAAAGAATAAGGATGAATTTATTCAGTCCTATTGTAATAGTGGTCAAGCAATCACAATGGAGGACACAGACTGAAGCCAATTCTGACTTTAACAAGGACAGTTGGGGATTACAGCCAACCAGCAGGTGAGGAGATCAGTGGATAGAAAATGACGAAAAGGAACTTGGCATTTAAGGGTGTCAAGGGCAGGGGATTGGGTACATGATTGAATATCCAGGGCAGAGGGATTCTTGATAACCTGGCTTAGCAGGGTTCTTGCTAAAACAGAGCAGGGCCTAGGCAGGAAGAGAGTTCAAAGGAGCCTGACTGTAGTTTGATTAAGGATCGAGATTTGCAAACTATTATTATGATTTAAACTCAGATTACTTAGGTTATTTCATCCTAGTCATCTTAGAGAACATAGAAAGAAACAGTTCAAGTACACACAATCAATGTATACAAATACTTGGGTAGTGGGTAAAGGTAAAGAGCAATATATATTCAACATAAATGTCTTTATTTCAATTTTTCTCTTTTATGCAGTCTGTGTGTGGTGTTGGCGTGGGGAGTACAGAGTGAATTTTAAGTTTTCTTCTCGTTTTTTTAAATTCTTTCTTTCAGTTAAGTTAGGTAATAAAGCAGCTCTCAGTTTTGTTCGTAGAGCTATACAGGAGATTGATATTATCAGATTAATTTTGTATGTAACAAATTTTAAAAGATCTTGAAAATCTCAAGTGGCATCTTTAAATGCTTAGTTTTATAAATAAATATAAGTATAATAATTTCTTTGTGAAATCAAACTAAATAGTCTAAAGAAAAGTTTGTTTTCTAAAGTGGTATAATAAATGTTTTGTTATTTATTTTCTTATAGCTTTATCATCCCAATATTGTACGTTATTACAAAACATTTCTGGAAAGTAAGTATGAGTTTTTGTGGTATTTCAACTTAAAGAAACGTCTTTGTTAATTATACATTTTTATATTGGAATGTCACAAAATAAACTCTCTCAACCATTTTCTTTACTTTATTGCCATTAATATGACAGTGGATGACCTGGAGCATAATGGATAACCTGATGATAGCTGTTAAAATACGTAGTTCCCTTCAGGGAAAGGTACTACATTAACAAGCCAAAATGATCATTACTGTCATTTTTATACCCAAAAAAGCACTTAAGTATCAGATGAAAAGAAAACTAAGGGATGGTGATTATGTAAAATCAATAGCAGTTTGTGTATGAATCAGATGACATTTTCCACCCCCCAAATAAATGGGAGTGGAAATTTATTGGAGTGATTTCTTTTGCATGAAGTTCAAGTAAGTGCCACCAGGTGGCGATGGAGCATTGGCGATTCCACAGGCAGCCAGGCTCTGCAAGTAGAAGGGCACAAATCCTAAGTCCCTCACTTGTTTTATTATAAATAAGACTACTGGCTGAAATAATAGAAGTATTGATGAAACTTAATGATCTGTGACACATATAAAATTTCAAGATAAATATCCACTTGAAGAAAGATTCAAAGAAGTCCAAGGCAACATTTTTTTTTTTTAGGCTTTCTCACCACCTCTTTATCAATGTTATTGTTATTTAAGAAAATAATGTCTTGGGATTCCACCTCCTGGGTCCCCTTCTTCCTCCGGGAGAAGTCTTTTCTGCTGTCCTTTAATAAATTTCTAATTTCTACTCTGAAAAAAAAAAAAGAAAATAACATCTTTTGTGTACTTTGGCATTTGTTATGAATTTAACTATCTTCCTCACTGAGATTACTCAGAAGAGCTCAGTGCTGAAACCTCTTGCCTCCTTCTTAGCCATTAGTTCTTGTTTCTTTTTTTTTTTTAAGTACCCAGGATTGAACCCTAGGAAGCTCAGCCACTGAGCCAAATCCCCAGTCCTTTTTTATATTTTATTTAGGGACAGGGTCTCACTAATTTGCTTAGTGCCTCACTAAGTTGCTGAGGCCGGCTTTGAACTCATGATCCTCCTGCCTCTGCCTCCTGAGCTTCTGGGATTATAGGCATGTGCCATTGTGCCTGGTGCCATTAGTTCTTGATATTGGAGGAAATGCCCATAATTTAGCACATACTCGCTCAAAAATAGACGAAGGTTGGCTTCTGCTTTGTACTAAACTGACACAACTTGTCTTATTATAAGAAGAAAATAAAACTCTTTTACAACTGGCAACTTCCAGAATGAATCAGAGGTAACTTAAAATACATAATGCATGCAACAGATTAGGAAATTACCATAAAGGGAAATATGAGGTGAGAGCATGAAAAATAAAACTAGAAGTAGGGGGTGCTGGGGTTGTGGCTCAGTAGTAAAGTACTTGCCTGGCATATGTAAGGCGCTGGGTTCAATCCTCAGTAAGACATAAAAATAAATAAAATAAAGATATTGTGTCCATTTTCAACTAAAAGTATTTTAAAAAAAACAACTAGAGGTAGGTTTAGTACATAAAACAAATTTTTTTTTGAATTTTGAAAAATTTGAAACAATAAAAAAGTATGTGTAGAATATGATTAAATATATTATGATTTATCTGTATTGTGCAATACTATGGCAACCAAGAGAAAGAATGGCATGTATTGGTGAACACTGAAATAAAAGGCTATTTAGTGGAGAAGAGTTTTAAGTTGTAGAACATGCATATAGGATTTCACCATTTTTGTAAATATTGCTTACATACCTATTTTATGTACATACAAAAGTCTCAAAAGACATCTCAAGCATATTAGTTTTAGAGAAGGAAGTGGATATTTCTTGACATTGAAAGCAAAGAGATAAACACTATCGGTTAATGTGGTTTACAGTGTTCCGAAGACAAAACCAGGAGAAGTCTAGCTGTCTTTGCTCTTGAGGGACACAGTAGATGTTTCTACCATGGGTGGTGGTTTCAGCTATCACTGTAAAACCATGGCACCATCCCAGGGTAGATTTCTGTAAGGTGAGTCTATGAGATGACAAAATGATGCCCTTTAATGTGCAGCTTCCTGAATGTCTGGTTTGAAATGAGGGTCAATCAGACCATCGAGAGGAAAGGTGGATTCACCTATTCTTAGCCCTCTATGACCTGGGGGTCATTTGCTTGTTCTTCTTGGTACCTTCCAAGCATTGCACATCTGGGCATACATAGAAAATGATAATGTTTTCCAGGGTGAACTTACTCTAGGGGGTTGCCTGTAGCTGGAAGAGAGTGATGCTGAGCTTTACTGGCCCCAAGATCCCTGTGCCTCCACTCAATCCAGGGCTGGGTGGAGCCTCATGTTAGCATATCTCTAATTCTTTAGTGTTGTCCTCTGCCCACCCACTAGGAAGCTCTAATTCTAATTTGTAACTCTTTTTAAAGCTTCTCTGTTGCATTCAAATTTTGATGACATATTTCATATTTTTTATATAGATGATAGGTTGTATATTGTTATGGAACTTATAGAAGGAGCCTCACTTGGTGAGCATTTCAGTTCTTTGAAGGAAAAACAACACCATTTCACTGAAGAAAGACTATGGAAAATATTTATACAGGTATGCCTTTATCTTCATTAATTTTTTCATAATGTAGTAAAGTTTCAAACTGATTTCTTAGAGACATGCAGTAGTCATCATTGGTTATACATATACTAGGGGAAATAAAATTTGTTTTTATTCTTATTTCAAGTTATGCTTAGCTCTTCGGTACTTACACAAGGAGAAGAGGATTGTCCATAGAGATCTGACGCCAAATAACATTATGTTGGGGGATAAGGACAAAGTAACAGTTAGTAAGTATAAAAATCTTAAAATTTTTCACTAAGAAATTTCTGAGTGTTATTCTAAAGTAGAATATTATTCCAGAGTAGTAGAGTAGTCTCCAATGGTACTTTGGGCATGGATAGACATATTTTGTATATCCTGCTGTCTGTGTCCATTAGCCACATGTGTCTTTTGGGTACTTAGAATGTTGCTAGCATGGACAAGGAAAGGAATTTTATTGCATTTTAGTTACTTTATATATCCATGTGTAAGTAGTGGCTACCATATTGGATAGCGACTAATCTAGTTCCAAATGGTTGTGTTGTATTTTACCCGTATGAAAGAATGAAGTACTTTTAGGATACTTGAGAATTTGATTCCCAAATCAATGGTTTCCAGGTTCTTTTCTTTTCCTTATAACACTACTACATCAACAAAAGCTTTTGTGAGCATGTGATCACAATGTGGTTTGTTTTGAACCATTTCACCATAGTTTGTGTCTCATGGGTAACAAATGTACATATTAAGGGCTACAAAAAAAAAATCCAGCCATTTGTATTCTGCAACAATTTTTTTCCCACAATATTTTAAAAATATGTAGCCACTGGGACAAACGTTGGATTACAAATTAGAAGGTTTTTATCATCTTCACATTTGTTTGATTCTGAATCACAACTTAAATTTTTTTTTTTAGTGTAGAGTAACATATGAACTTTCTTCTCTTTTCTTCACTTGTGTTATGCTCATGGACAACAAGTGGGGAGACCCATGTCCATCTATGTCAGCTTATTAAAAAATTCTATACATATATTGCTGTACAAAGATTCTATAGAACACAAAAACTTGTACATAAATAAAATATAATGGGTTGCATTTAAAAATAAAATTATAAGTTTTAATAATTTTCCTGATCCTTTCTCCTCCATGGATTGCCTTACATACCCAGTTTGCCCAAAGTTGAGGTGACAGACATGACATCTAAAGCTGGATCCTTTACTTTCACAAGAAACCAATAACTCAAGAAGGTCATTCCAAATGTACACATTTTCCATAACCATGTCTTCATGAATAATGATTGATTAGCTGTCTAGATTTTTATAAGTGGAACATCCTATATTAGTTAAAAAATTTAAAAATCCTACCCCAAATAGAAACTATGGATGACCTTTTATGCAAAGTTACTTGGAAATATTTCCAAGCTAGTCCATTGTGAAGTAAAAAAAGAGAGATCAAGTAATTGTGAATCCTCATTTTGGACACACATCTGCTAAATCATCTGGAATTAATTATAATTTTGTTGACTATGAGTTTTTAAATTTTTCTCTTTTTACAAATTGGATCTTTTTTTCCTTAAGATTTTTTATAATTTATTTACATGAAAGGATCTTAATTTTTAAGTTAATAAGGATTATTATAAATTGTGTATTTGAATTTGATAGCAAGTGTGTGTGTGTGTATGTGTGTGTGTGTGTGTGTGTGTGTGTGTG